CAGGAGCGGCTCTGCAGGGGATGAGGGCAGAGCTCGAGTCGGGGCGGAGAGCGGCCCGCCACGAGCAGCACAAGGGCTCGGAGGCGCCCGATGGGGACCTCCCAGCGCACAGAGCCAGGGCAGTAATTTTCTGCCCTCCGGGGCAGTGATCCTGAAGGTTTCCTAACACAATACAATGGCAGAGACACTAACTAGAGTGTTTGCTGCAAAGGGAAACGTTAAGTTAGCAGAGCAGTGATTTTTTGAGGCCTCCCTGTGTGCTTCTAAAACCACATGAACTGAGAGGAAACTCAGCGTTATTGCAGCAATATGCAAAATACTTCAGTAAATGTTTGGGCTTGAAAAAAGAAAATGAGGTGAATGGGAGATGGTTACCTGGAGACAAACTTAGTTCTAATGTGAGGGGGCAAAGCAGGGAGATTCGTTACTTCTGCTAATTGCTCTGGCTGTTTCCTAGGTTCTGAACGTAGCAAATATGAACGACTGGCAAAGGAAAAGCCCTCTAGAGTGGCAAACGTATGTGAACAAACAAGTGAAAGTTGCAGCGGCTGAGAAACATGAATATGAAGGATGGGTCTTAACAGTTGACCCAGTTTCTGCTAAGTAAGTACCAAAGCTTTTGTTTCCATAAAACTAAGACCTAACAAGCTTTTCAGGAAGAGAAAAGAGGATCCCAAGCCTGAGGCAAACTTGCTTGGAGCAAAAACTGCACACTGAGGCTCTGCTATCTTTTTTTACTTGGCATGGCTTGAAAGAAAGGGATATTGCAGGTGATGAGGCCAGTTCACCTAAAGCCAAATTGATCTTGTTCATAGGACCGGTAATTCTGGGGAGCGGGTAATACCTATGAGCTTCTTTGCTCTGGACTCATGATGACTTTACTGTGGATCTGGGGTTACTATAAATGCTACTCCTGTATTTAGGACTGCCTTTAATAATATACCAAGCCCTGCCTCACAAAGAGGCATTTTAATGCATTTTTTAATGCATTAGGTGTTGCTGAAATTAGGTGTCCTCTGTTGAGCTCTCACATCAATGCCCTGCTTTCCCCTCCACTCAGCTACTAACGAGGATGTAGCGGCAGCTTTGGGGCATTGGGCAGGTACAGAAAGCGGTACCCACAGGTTCCTATGTCTCAAGTGAGTAACATGAAAACAAGGTTTGAAAGGAAGGGTGCACCAGGGAATAGGTTGAAATTTGGCAGAATTTTGGCTCCTTGCTGCCAGAGCTGCTTCTTGCCTTTTTGGTTGCAAACATGTCCAACACGAGCATAAGATGAGCACTAGAAACTCTAAAACATCCAGCCCCTTGACTCTGTTTCAGAAGAACTGATTGCTGCTTCAACACTGGAGTAGCTCTGATACTCCAGTCTCTTGGGATTGCTTGTGCTTTTGTGGTAGGAAAAGTCTATGCAACTGTGAGTAATTCTGGGGATGGCCCAGGCTAATTCGAGGTATGTTTCATGGGACATTTCCCCCAAAATTGTTTATTCAACCAATGGTGGCAACAGTAAGTTACCAAAGTGCTGGCATCAAATTCAGGAATTTTTCTTACCACAAGAGAAAGAAAATGGTTTCTGTCCTCTTCCTTGATTTATGTAGAAGAGACCATAGAAATAGAAAGAGTTGCTTTCTTACCTGTACTTTGGGATTTCTGGGATGTAAGTGCCCTTGGAAAAAGACCAAGCAAGAGCAGCCTGAGCCTGAACCTGCTGTGCTGTGTTCCCACTGTCATGCTCAGGCTACAGTTTTCAGTTAAGGAGCTGGCAATACTCAGTAAGAAAAAAAAATATATATATAATTTGGGTAATGATCAACAACTAAACACTAATAATTAATCATTAAAAGGTCCTGATGCTACATTGTTAGCTGCCACCATTGCCTTCAGCACTCAAGTGTCCAACGTATGAAGGTACTGTTGTTTTTGAAAGCTGGAAGGCTTAAGGTGCTTTTGCAAAGGTGGGAATGCTGCCCCAAAATATTTGGATAGCCAGTCCCGATTTTGACACATACTTTACTTTTTAAATATAATGTTCTGCTGGATAGTAGCTAGAGCAGTTCTATCAGTCAGGGCCAGAAGTTACCCCAAAAAACTCACACTTTCAGCATGTAATGGGTATGACGTGCTTTTCAAGAAAATTGCTGGGTACTCAGTGTGGCCTAAAAATCTGGGCTACACTGAGCACTTACCTCCAAGATCTCGGCCTGTCTTTCTCAGTCTTCAGTTAATTATGCTCAATAATATGTCCCTCTTTTCTTGGCAGTATCGTCCTTGCAAGGTTTCCAGAGAATGAAAAAGTGTTAATTTCAGTCGTCTTGGGCCATGCTATCCAGGAGGTTGAAATACTGAAAGAAGGGGACGATGAAATGAAGAAACGACTTTCTCGCTTACTCATGCCTGAAGAGAGCAAAGCTTACAGCCCAGAAGAGCTGGAAAAGAGGAAGAACAACTTGAAGACTTGGCTAGAAACAAATCACATCCCTGTAACAGAGCAAGGTGAATCAGGAAGAACGCTATGTGTGGCAGGTGTATTAACTGTTGACCCACCGTACGGCCCAGAGGAGTGCAACAGCTCCAATGAGATTATTCTGTCTCGGGTTCAAAGCCTAATACAGGGCTACCTCGAAAAACAACTCTGATGTTCAAAGCATTTATATTTAGGCATGGGTCTCCATGTCCCGTTTTAAGGACTATCCTGGATATCTGTGTTCACTATATGCAAAACTGCTGGGTTTAGGTGTTTTTGTTGAGTGTTGTATACAAAGAAAAGGATAAAACTATCAGTATAAACTAAAAACAATAAGTGTTTTGCATGCGCTTTTTTTTTATTAAAACCAAGCGTTGAATAATAACGATAATTAAACTGATACATATTTGTGAGCAGGTTTTGTGACAGTATCATGAAAGATCAAACGAGAGAAGTTTAAACAGTTTTCCTCTGCCTTTAAAATTAATTTTATCCCATTTTCTAGTTGTCTAGACATGTTTTTTATATTTAAATGAACTCCTTGCCATGGATCTTTTTTTTTTTTTTTTTTCCAGAAAGAGAATAGCTGAAACAAAAAAGCTCTGTCAGCTATTTAAGTTTCTTTGTGATACTTGGAACTTCCCAAACCAGATGCAAAATTTGTTCAGATTTTTTTTCCATAGCAGTTCTCCTGTTTTAAAACATGGACTGTAATACAGGCCCAGATTTTGTAACATTATTAGGTAAGGTAAGTAGGCTTGAAATGCATCATTTCCCATCTACGTTTGCTATCTTATAGTAATGGTGGTTGGAAGACCTTTGTTCCCTACAAAGAGAATTTTCTTGCAATTCCGTACGTTTTTGGTTTTTTTTTTTTCTTAATGTTTTGGGGTGGCTAGATGAGACCATTGCCACAACACACAATGCCAAATTCGTTATGTGATTATTCTGGGGATTATTAATCCAGACAGGAAGCTTTTACGCCCTTCATTTTGTGAGTGTCTGGGCATGCTAATTGCCTATGTATTATTACTAGATAGCACCAAATCCTATGTTAACTGCGCGCGCAGATACGTGTGAGGTCTGTCTGCTCCTTGTTAACAAAAGGCCCTTATGCCTGCTCTGGTTCGTTTAAAATCAGTTCAGACCAGTGAGGTTCCGGCTGATGGTGCTTAAAACAGAAAGCCTGAGCTGTTGGCGTTCTCCGGTGCCCACCCCCTGAGCGGGCCCACAGGAAAGGGCAGGCTCCGCAGGGGGCTCCGTGAACGCTTTCACGGAGGAGCGCATCAAGGGCTGCCCCAGCTCCGGGGCACCGCAGGCCAGGCGGCGCACAGCTGACAGGACAGCTAGCGCCAGGCCGCCTTCCTTCCCCTCAAGAGTCGTGAGAGGGCAGCTGGAGGCTGCCGCGTTACGGGGCGGCCCACGCATCTT